GCGGCCGGGCCGGGCCGGGCGGAGGCGGCGGGGGCGCGGGGCCCCGGGCGCTGGGGGGCGGCGGCGGCGGCAAGGGCGGCGGCGGGGCCCGGCGGCGGCTGCTCTCGGCCGGCCGGCCGGGCGGTCAGTCAGGGAGCGACGAGGGCGCGGACAGAGCGCTCCGAGGCTGCGGCCGGCGCGCGGGGACAACGCCGCTTTATCGGGTCGGAAACAGCCGCCGCGCGCCGCTTCCGCTGACGCAGCGCCGGTCTGCGCTCATGACTATGCAGCAGCCGCCGCGGGAGGCCGGGGCGGGGCTGGCTTCGCGCGCGCCTATTGGCCTCCGTGCGCCCCGCCCACCGAACCGCCCCGCCCCGTCGGCCCAGGCCCCGCCCCGAACGGCCCCGCCCCTCGTTGCGTCCCACCTCCCTCCTCCGGGGAGGGGCGTCCCGCGTGCCCCCAGCCCCAGCTTCCGCGCGCTGGAGCCCCCGCCCCTCCCCTGCTCACTCCCTGCCCCCTTCCCTCCTAACGCAGCGGGGCCCCCACCAGCCAATCCCCTCTAGGAGCATTCTCCTCCCCCCATCTCCCCAACCCGGCCCCGGCTGCACCGAGCAGGGTGGGCTCCGCCCCCAGGTGCTGCAGAGGACGCTTTCCGCGCCTCGCCTCTGGGTCTCTTTCCTTGAACCCCATTGGTCGCCGTGGTCCATCCGCCGGTCCTCTGCGCCCCCTCTGGGTAGCTGGGCGGGACCCATGCCAGCCCGGGACCCCAGTCCCGTAGCACCCCTCAAGCAGAACGGCTGCGGTCTCAAGGATGGGCCGCCTCCCCACGCCGGAGCCCAGGGACGCAGGGTTGCGGGAGGCAGCCCGACGGAGAAAGGGATGACCTGACGGGCTGAGGTCAGACAGCCGCGTGCCCTCTCCGGGGTGGAAGCGGCTGTGAGCAAACCGCTTCACCTCGCAGAGCTGGGCGTCCTCATCTGCAACGCAGAGATCCTCAGCCCCTCTCGTGGGGCCGCTGGAGGGAATTAGGAAGGAAGGGTGCGCCGCGCGGCCTCCGGATAAAGTTAGGATGGGAAAATCCGACAGCAGCAAGTGTTGGTGAGGACGTGGAGCAACTGGAACTCTCTCCCGCGGCTCGTGGGGGTGCAGAATGGTGCAGCCCCTGGAAGTCCCTTTCCAAGGGCTTGCACTGCAAACCCTACGACCTCGCAGTCCCCTCCTAGACGCATACATTATGCGATCGTTTTTCTCTTCACAGCAGCCCTGTTTGTAATAACCACACATGGGAAGGGACCCAAATGCCCCTCAGCTGTAGAACAGATACACCGACAGCATTCTCCGGTCGGTGCAGTGGAATGACAGCGCTGCTACGAATAGTGCACAGACACACATAACATGATGACTCACGCATGATTTTGGGGTAAGAAAAGCCAGACTTCAAAGCATATAGGGTTCCGTGTGTATAAAGTGGTAAAGTATATGTAGAAGTCAAGATAGTGGTTAGCATTAGAGGGAGGGGTGCCAGAGCCACACGGGGGAAGCCAAGAGAGTGTTTGGGATGCTTGTAAGATTCTGTGTCTTGATCTGGGTTACACAGGTGTGTATGTCATGCTTCAGTGAAGGGTTAATAAGAACATGAGCGGCGAGCACCTTAAAAGCCCAAAGGGGGCCCCGACTCATCGTGGGTTCCTCACAACTGTCTCCCTCCTCTGTTGGGTTTCTGGTTCCTCTGGCCAGAAGATGGAGGCAGAGGTGATCCCAGAGATGCTGCGACCCTGGGCACCTTTCTTAATCTTTCAGAGCCTTCCTCTGTGAATGAGCCTTCTAATAACACCTACCCCCCAAGCTGTCATGGGGGTCAAATAACGCTTTATTCATAAACTTGATACAGTAAGGAGCAGAGTAAGGACTTAATAACTTTAATTATTCACGACACTCCGAATGCTGCAACTTATCAAAATCTATTTACATCCTTTCAGCAACCAGCTACAGAGCGCCTACCCTATGGCATGTACTCAGCCAGATGCAGGGTACTAGAGCCGGCAGCAAGATCCACTGTCCCTCCTGGAGGATCCTGTAGCAGAATGGGAAGCGCCTCTGAGAAAGGAATGCCTGCTAGGCCCTGCAGCCGGGGAGCCCAGCATAGGACCTGCTCATAGTAGGTCCCGCATCAGTGTTTCTGAAAAGGCAAATGAATGCATGCATAAAAGCGTATGCGTAAAGTTTCATGTGAATAAAATTTAAACGTCAGATTAATTGACTTCTACAGTCTGGAGTTGGGCACAGAGAATGGACAGAGAGCAAGGTTACTGCGCATGTGCAAGAACAGGTGCAGGGCCCCGTGTGTGTGTGTGTGTGTGTGTGTGTGTGCGCGCGCGCGCGCGCGCTATGAGGAGTAGGGGCGGGGCCCCACTTCCTGCGCTCCATTCCAGCCTAGCCCCCTGGGGCCTTGTCCAGCTGCCAGCAGCAAGCAGGGGGGTGCAGAATGCGTGTTTGTGTTCCCCTAAAAGTCAGGTTGACTCTCCACCCCCAGTGGGATGACATTGGGGGGCTCTTTGGGGGTGACTAGTAGGGTGGAGCCCTACCGATGGATGAGTGCCCTCATAAGAAGAAACCCAAGAAAGCTCCTTTCCTCTCTTCTTGCATGCCTGCACCGGGGAAGGCTGTAGGAGGAGGCCCTCCCCAGAACCCAGCCACGTTGGTACCCTGGTCTCAGATTTCCTGGTGTCCAGAACTGTGAGAAGTAAGTATTGGGTGCTTGAGCTGCCCAGGTTGCCTTATTCCTGTTACAGCAGCCTGAGCAGATTAAGACAGAGGGTAAGGTGAGCCTGTCGTTTGTGACTCCACTGTCCAACCGCCTGGGGGTGGGGAGCTACAAAGCCACACAGCTCCCCCTCACACCCTCCTTGAATGACAGGGCCCCCAGTGCTGTGAGGAGGGAGCTGGACATATGAGAAGCCTGTTGCCCCAGAGAGAGAAAGACCTGGCCCCAGAGCAGGACGTGCCTGGGCACTTACCTGTCACAGGTGTGCGACCTCAGAAGCACTCCATGCCTGGTTGACAGCTCTGTGGTGAGTAGCTTGAAATTCTTAATCATTTCTGGGGTGCCTGGGGGGCTGACTGGTTAAGTGTCCAATTCTTGGTTTTGGCTCAGGTTGTGATCTGTGGGATGAACACACACACCCCCACCCCCAACTGGGCTCCCAGTTGTAGGGAGTCTGCTTCCCCTTTCCCTCTGCCCTTTACTCCCCACACCCACCCCGGCTCAAGCACTCCCCCTTTCTCTCTGTCTCTTTTTCTGAAATAAATAAATCTTTTTTTAAAAATCTTCATAAGGGGCTCCTGGGTGGCTCGGTGGGTTGAAGCCTCTGCCTTTGGCTCGGGTCATGATTCCAGGGTCCTGGGATCGAGCCCCGTGTCGGGCTCTCTGCTTAGCGGGGAGCCTGCTTCCTCCTCTCTCTCTCTCTCTCTGCATGCCTATCTGCCTACTTGTGATCTCTGTCAAATAAATCAATAAAATCTTTTTAAAAAACTTCATAATTTCTAACAAATTATGGAGCCCATCCTATATCCTCACTGTAAGCACATTGACCCCCTGGGACACTTGGAGGGACCCACAAGCCCCGGGCCGTGTCCTGGGAAACTGGGAGGGTCTGACAACGTCTCATCACTGCTCATGCAACCTTGCCTTCTCCCCGCCTCAACTGGGGCCCCTTGGAGCAGAGCTGTGTCCTTCTTGTCCATGGATCTGCAGGGCCTAAGAACTAATAAAACTGTAACCTTGACCATTTCCAGAGACTGGCCAGGAATTTCCCCTCCTCCAGGAAGCCCTCTCGATGTCCTGCCTTACCAGAGAGAGTGGATCCCTCCCATGAGCTCTGACTCCCTCTGCCCCTTCACAGATCATTCCCAGCTGTAACTGGGCACGTCTGTCTCTCGAGTGGTCTGCAAGCTCTGTCCAAGGGGCTGGTAACCAGGTCAGGTTCATGGCTGCATCCCAGAGGCTGCCCACAGTGGGGCTGCGGACATGTTTGCAGGTAAGGGGGACAGAAAGAAAGAGAAAAGGAATCTCTTAGTGAGGACCCATGGAGAGGCACTGAAGGGTCCACAGACTCTGGAAACAATGTGAACCAGCCTTCACTGGGCACTAACTGAAGGCCAGACCCAGCATCCCATGTATCCCCTGCAGTCCCATGCCTCTGTGGGTCAAGAGCTATCATCCCCATCGTGTGACCCTACCAGGTCAGGTCGAGGACACCTGCAGAAGGCATGAGGCCCCTGACCCTGGTGCCTGGAGGCAGAGAGGTTGGGCGTGCTGGCCTAGGGAGGGGCAGGATTTGGGGCAGGTCAGAGTAGGGGAAGTGGAGGGTCAATCAGCCGACAGGTTCTGGGGGTGGGGGGGAGCTGGTAACAGGGCCTAGTTTGAACCTTGCCATCAGCAGCGGCTGCAGGCTGTACACTGGGGGTGAGCCCAGGGGGCTCACGCAGGGAAGGGGTTTAGAAACCAAGGCTGTGGCCCTCGGGGGATGATCGTTTGCAAAACTGTCCTTCATTTTTAAGCAATAACATATTCTGGGGTTTTTTGGGGGGGGTTGTTTGTTTGTTTTAAAGATTTTATTTACTTAATTGACAGAGAGATCACAAGCAAGCAGAGAGAGAGAGGTGGAAGCAGGCTCCCTGTGGAGCAGAGAGCCCTATGTGGGGCTCGATCCTGGACCCTGGGATCATGACCTGAGCCGAAGGCAGAGGCTTTAACCCACTGAGCCCCCCAGGTGCCCCTGTCCTTCATTTTTAAGCAATAACACGTCCTGTGTTTTTTAAAATCTATTTCTTTAAGAAAGAGAGAGAGCCTGGGCAGGGGGGCAGGCAGAGGGAGTGAGTTTAGGTGTGCTGGAGATGAGCAGAGCCCCCGTGGCAGAACTGGAGCTCCAGCCACTTCCCGCTGTGTGATCCAGGGGGAAATGCCTAATCTCTGTGAGTCCCAAGGCACAATGGAGAGGCTGGGCCCTCCCAGAGTGTGGGGTGCAGGCCTCCTGAGATGTGGGGCAGGTGGGCCCACACCCTACAGGTCCCAGGTCTTAGAGCAAAGCCAGGCTCCCCAGTCGCCCACGATAGGACCCGAGGATTGAGAGGACAATGACTGCCCAGGCATCCTGAGCAGTGAGTGATCTTCAGAGTAACCTCAGTTCCGGGGGGACGAAGCTGTGGCAGGACCTCCAGGCGCTGGGATTGGCAAGAGAGCAACACGCTTCCTGGGGCTTGGAAGTGCCCGGGGTCATATGGCTTCTCAGAATCATAAAGCTATCTGGGGACACATCGTCACTCCGGGTCATCTAGCTGTCCGGGTCGTGCGGCCACCTGAGTTCATATGGACACTCAAGGTCATATAGCTTCCCAGGGTCATAAGCCACTTGGAGTCATATAGCTTCGTGGGGTCGATCACATGCCTGTCTGGGGTCATAGTTTTCCAAGGTGATATGGTTTCTTGGGGTCATATGTCTTCCTGTAGTCATAGGACTTCTTGGGATGATACAACTGCCAGGAGTCCTATGGCTCTCTGGTCATAGGCTTCCCAGGGTCATATGTCCACCTAGGGTCATATGGTCACCTGGGGCCACAGTGCACCTTCGGAAGAGGTTTAGGCTTCTAGGCCATTCTACTGCTGCTGTGTCCTGGGTGAGTCCCCCCCCCCCCGCCCGCCAGCCTTCCTTTCCTTATCTGTGTGGTGGACAGGACATCTGTGCCTAGAGGACTGGGGGACAGGGCGGTGGTGTCGAGCATGAGGAAAGGCACAGAGCCCACGCAGGCACGGAGGCTGTGCTCCGTGAGTGCCCGCGACACTGGGGAGACCAGCTCTGGCCCCCAGCACAGCCCTTACCTTCTCAGCCTGAGCAGACCTGGAGGGTTTCCATAAGAGAGTGAGGCCGCTTTCACCCAGAATGGTGGCGGGGGGGGGGGGGGCTTTCTGAGCAGCAGGTACTAGAAAAGGCCTGGCTGGCTTGTTCGGGAGCAGAGGAGTGAGGGGGGCAGAGGAAGGCCTCCTGCAGGGGAGATGGGCTGAAAGGGAAGCAGAACCCCTCCCCTGCCCCATCCCAGGGTCTGGGGAGCAGGCCCAGGTGAAGTCTCTGTGCTCTACCTTTTCCTGTAGTTGTCTTATGTTCTACAACCAAACTGTAGGGTAAATAAATGCAGCAGGGGTTGGCGGAGAACTTGGGGACGGCAGAACCCTAGAGGTTCACAAAGCCTGAGAGCAGGCACACACACTGCCATGCACACGTGCGCGCGCGCACACACACACACACACCATGACAGGAACACCTGTCTCTTGATCCCTTCTTGGCCTGGGCCAAGGCAGGACGGGTGGTCGGGGTTTCCTCCTGTCTAAGTCCCTGTGGGACCTGCAGTTGCTGGAGAAAGGGGCACCAGTGCCAACAGGCCTTCTTCTTCCTTTTTTTTTTTTTTTAATTTTATTTATTTATTTGACAGAGAGAGAGAGAGATCACAAGCAGGCAGAGAGGCAGGCAGAAAGAGAGGAGGAAGCAGGCTCCCCGCTGAGCAGAGAGCCCGATGCGGGGCTCGATCCCAGGACCCTGAGATCATGACCTGAGCTGAAGGCAGAGGCTTTAACCCACTGAGCCACCCAGGCGCCCCAACAGGCCTTCTTTAAAGGAGACCTAGAAGTCCCAGATTGGGCACAGGTGGGCATCAGCCTGCTTGGGTTAAAGACCCAGCTTCACCCCTTCCTTGCAGGCTGCACACAGCCCCCTCCCTCAGAAGGGCCTAAAAATTATGTAGCTGGCTGTCGAGTCCCTTTGCTTCTCCGTGCCTTGGTTGCCTCATCTGCAAAATGGGCGCATGAGTTCAGTGCTAATGCTGGTCTGGCTTGACTCAAGCGCCTGGGGGCATGATGGACAGGCACCCAGAGGGACTGCACACTGACTAAGCCCCGCCCATAGCACTTGAGGGCACTTCTGCTAGAAGAGGGAGCTGAGGCACAGGGACAGAAGATGGCAGGTAGCGGGTAAGTAGCCTAGTCGGGATTTGAACCCAGGCTGCCTGGCTCTGCATCCTTGTGCCCTCTGCCCAAGGTCGAGGGCCTGCGAGGAGCTCCTGGACTGTCAGAGTGGGGATGAGCGGGGGCATCTGCTCTGCGTTACGAGGGTACGTGCCCGGATGGTGGGGGAGGGTGGGCCAGGCTCCCTGCAGCCCAGCCGGGAGCCGAATGACCAGGGTGACCTGAAGGGGA